GAAAATCCTCCATTAAACCTATAAGATTTTGTCCATCAGTATGCTCTATCTAGAGTTAGTTAGTTTCACCTACTTTAACTTGATAAAAAGTCTTGTTTAAGGAACCGTTTAATAGAAAAACTGATTTACAGATGAATCAATTTGCAAAATAATCGTTAGTTGCAGCCCTGGTATTTGCAACGTAGTCATGCAGCTCTCCATCTCTGTCCTCTGGTGGCTCTTCATGCTTCCCTGTTCCAGTTTTCAATGATCGCTCTGACTATAAGTCTTATTAGACTTCAATAAGTGACGAGTTTTGTCTGCGTTTCTTGATCAGTGAATATTCCCACACATCTACCGCCTCATACGCCAGAGAAACAGGAAGTCATAGATGACAAACAAAAAGTTCCTGGAAACTTTTATCCAAGTAATGCATCAATTAAAGAATGGATTTAGTTTGTAGCAACGACTAGAGGGGCAACTTTTTATTTAAATATTCTAAAACTAAAGGTTGGACTGTGGTAATGAAGGTGAATTCATATAAAGGCCTTCTGCCCATCTAAGGCAGTGATCGAGTCTATGTTGGCTCTGTTCTTACTAGTTCCACCTGATGATCTTGTGCTGGTTATTCCCACTGCTGGGACTGGTTTGACAACATGCCAGCCTGCACACTTGAATTCAGCCTCTTCTTTGATTACTGCTTTGGGTTTCACCCTCTCTTTAAACCATCAGAGACGTTTTTTCTACACCGTTTACGTTTTTAGTGGCGGTGATTCTGTCTCTGGATCAGAACCGTGCCAATTGTGTGTGTAAATGTCAAAATGAGCTCCTCGGGCAAATCTGAGTCACTCATTTCGGTTTCTCTGGGTATGATTGCCTCTTTTTTTTTTCCCTCTCTTCTTCTGTGGAGTGGCACAATGGGCAGACTTGTGTGATGCTTAGTGTTGATGGGAGTTTGGCCCCGGCGAGGGCAGCTGATGGCCTAAGTAGCCCTGTCCTCTCTGCTGAGCCTCTCTGGCAGTGCTTCTCGTCGTCCACAGGCCTGCCATTGTTTTTGCTCCATGCTTCGGCTTGACAGGGCTCCAGAAGCCAGCCATTGTATTTAATTACAGGTCGTCGGCCCCCTCACAGACTCTTGTCCTTGTGTCCTAGATTTCACTGGGTGCCCTCATTAAGAGAGTGTCCATTCTGTGAAAGAGAGAGATCACTTCTTTAATGGGCCTGGGTTAGTCTGTAAGCCGTGTTTGAATTTAAGCATTTAAGCAGTTTTTATATGCCACTGTTGTTGCAATGTTTGTTCTTCCGTTCTTTGGTAAACACGCTGAAATGTAATCAGTCTGCATTAAGCTCGTCGGAGCGGTGAAGAGAACTGAATGGATTTGCGTCGATGAGAAAATATGGCACGTAGTGACTGCATCGCCCAGCGGCGTGGGCGACAGCGGCTCATCATGAAACCAGCGTAACGCTGCCCTTTTTCCTCATGCCCCACGGAGGGAACCCTGTTCCATCACTGCTGCAACCAAACCATGTTTGGTAAATTAATATTAGGGAGGAAAAGGCTGTTTTTTATTTTTTTTCTAAATAAAAATGCAATATGAAATGAAAATGTTTTAACAATAAAATGTTTTTTATTTTAATTTACCGTAGTCGATTTTATATTTTAAATTTTTATTTTTACCCATTTTATGAGTTCCCTCCCCAAATATTTTTTAATTTCTGTTTTTCAGATTCAGTTTGACAAATTCCATGTTTCCCAAATTGTCTTTAATGGATCACATTCTCATATTTGGAAAAGTGCTTAAATAAATACTAAATCTTAATTTGTTTTTTTTTTTTAAGCAGCTAAAAGAATAAAATAAAAGGAAATAACAAAGTTACTCAAAAGCTTTTTTGATAACGGCATTTTTAAAGGTTTGTTTCTGGATCGCCCTTTTTTTTCTAATTTCCATTTACAAAACGAGTTTTGCTGCAACAATAATATAACAAAAATCCCTTCATAGGCTCTTCTTTTTAAGATTCAGTTATTCTGCTTCCTTTCTGGAGTTTTTACAGCAGTGTCTGGTTTTCTTTCCTTCATCATATAAAAAATCTTTACATGCAACATGAAATGCAACAGATGCCTCTTTAACCTGCAGCGTTTGGCTCCATCTTCTGCTTGGAGAAACCTGTGCTTTTTCTCTAAAACCACCTGAAGCTTGCAGAAAATGCTACCAAAATTCTGGATCTCTCTGTTTTGGATAAGATGTCCCTCTAAGGTCTGTTTATTGTTCCCACTGGCCGGTAGGGTGAATGAGGACCTGCATTTGCAGAGTTCCCTGGGCTGTGAAACAAATTTAAACCTCCAAAGCTCACTGATGGAAAAAAAACTTAATTAGAGAGGGCCATTTTGGGATTAGTAGGTGTCCATGACAACCATCAGAGGTTTGCAGAATACCCACAGTATGTACTTAAGTAAGAATGGTAGTAATTTATCATATTTTAACAAGCAAAAGCAAAAAGTATTTCGCCGAAAGGCTACACAAGTGCTGAGTAACTCATCATAACATCTATTTAAAATTATCTATTAGACCAATATGTGCAAATTCTGGTATTTTAAAGACTGTGATCAAATAAATAAAATACATGAATAACATATTTGATGATGGGAGATTATTACAAATCCAGGCAGAAGAAAAACATTTCAAAATCAAAGTGATGAAACGGATCCTCATTAGTTTATTGCTATCATAGTTCAGATTACTTGTAATTCTTACTGTATATCGGTTTGACCCACATATTTCAAACTTGTGAACAAAAAGGAAAACCTTTGCATTTATTTTATTTAGACACAAACATTAAGCAGGTTTACTTAAAACAAGCACAGTTACTCACAGTGGATGGAGTAGCCAAACATTTTACTGAAAACATATTATTATAAAGATATTACTCAAATAAAAGTAAAAGGTATTATGCAAAAAAAAAATACTCTTAGAAGTATATTTTTTGTTAAAAAGTTACTTAAGTAAATGTAAAAGTAACCATCAGCCATCAACCACATGCCAATGATGGCTGCAACTAAACATTATTTTGCAAATCGATAAATCCGTCCATTTTCTTATTTTTATTAATTGATTAAAAATTGGGTAGGAAAAATTCCTTCCAAAATTTTTTTATGAAATTAAACCAGGTGAAAATAAAGCTAAAGTTTTATATTAATACAAAATGTTTAAATTTTTTTTTTTTTTTTTTTTTTTACAATTTTGGCAAAATACTGCTCAGTGGGTCACACTGTCAGCTAAATACACAATTAAAGTCTCTATACATTTATACTGTCTCTATACAGTTAACGATTAATCGATTACTAAAGTAGTTTGACGAATAATCGATTATTGATCCGATTAATTGTTTCAGTTGTTCGGCTGCGATACCAGAGGTTAGAAACCCCTGGAATTTGCTGAATTCTCTGAGACTAAATCAGTAAAATCATTGTAAATCAGCGCATCATTCCCACTGTTAAGTACAGTAGAGGATCTGGGATGCTGTGGGTCTGTTTCTGTTACAGAGGCTCTCTGAAACCATTGTAGTGCACAAAAGTGTGATGGTGATGAGGATACAGAGTGAACTTATTGTGTTTCTGTTTGTAAATCTAAAAACTGGATAAACTGACGGTGATCTCCTTGATTGGGCCCCTGATGCGCTGCCAGCAGCACAAAGTCTCTACCTCCACTGAATCCTGGACTATGCTAAAAACAGAGAGCTAGCAGTCAGCGTCCAAGAACATTTTTTATAACATATTACTGTGCTAATTTCAAATGTAGGTTTTAATATTATGGAAAGATCCTCTGAATACTAAAGGTAAAAAAAAAAAAAAAAATGGCCGCTGATGAATGAAATGTTTGTCGATTGGTAAAATCAATCAACTTTATATAATTTTATGATTCCATAACTTGCTTTCTAATGGTGTAATTTATCTTCCCCTGTTTTTTCCCATCTTTCATGTCTGCTTTAAGCCCTTTGAATGCATGAAAATATTTGTTTTTCTAACCTGTAATCTTCCTTTGAATTGTAAATGTTTCTCCTTCATGTGGAGCATGAACAGCTACCTTTTATCTCTTTAAACTAATCACAGCTGGCAGAGGGGAAGCCAGCACAGACATGCTGACTGGAGACAAATCTCGTTTTAAAGCTGATTTCTGAGGACGGCTTTTTTTTTTTTTTCTTATTTCTTTTCAAATGTTTTAAGCGCCCAGATTTTTGCTTTTATTTTCCGCAAATGAAGCGAGCTCTGCATCACCATTTGCCAAAGCAGGATTATAGTCTTATTTGGTCAAGGGTTGGCAGTGTGTTGTGTAAATGCACATTTTATAATTGATTTAACAGCAGTGTTTTATAACACAGCGGCCATGGAGGTCAGAGTCCAACACTTCTAACATGAAGACGGGTTTGGTCCTCCATAATCCCTGCACCACATGTTGTTTGCTTCGCCGTGGCAACCTTCAGCTGATGGGGATGGTTGTTTCTGCTGCACCTGATCTGTGCAGCGAATAAATCCTGAAAGAAACGCAGACACAAACACAAACACCTTGTTTGTTTTGAAAATGTCTGCGATTGATCCTGCAGTCAATTGAAGCGCAGCTGCTTTAAAGAAACACTGAATTTCTAAAACGCAGGCAGAACTCCAGGTCTCATCAGAGGAGAAAAATCCGACTTTGAAGCTTTGATACCAGGGTTGCATTCTTAGGTTGCACAGATGCATAACCTGAGCTATTAATATGATTTTTGCAGTGATTTACTCCATCTGGGTTTTGATAAAAGAAAATTTTTCCACCTGATAAGGAAGCTTTCAAAATACCTGTTCACCCCATGCCTCTAAGTTAGTGCATTGGATGTATTTAGGCGTATCTGTTTGCCGTAGCTTGCTTGAGATCTCTGTCTGTGCGCTTGTGAGATTGTGTTCATCCTGCTCCTATCGATTAACGCCCGACGTCTGTCGGCGCTCACCTTGATAGCGTCTGCTAACCTCCACTCTCTCCTCTCCGCAGCGATAGAGACCCAGAGCACCAGTTCAGAGGAGATAGTGCCAAGCCCGCCCTCGCCTCCCCCTCCGCCCCGCGTCTACAAGCCCTGCTTTGTGTGCCAGGACAAGTCCTCAGGGTACCACTATGGTGTCAGCGCCTGTGAAGGCTGCAAGGTAAGATTTCCATGGCCTTCCTTCTTTTTTTTTTTTTTTTTCTCCAAATCTGCCAAGCAAGCAAGAGTTTCAGCAATCTTATGGCCTTTGTGTGATTTGCACAAGAGAGAGGAGGGAGAAAAAAAGAAATCCACCTCTTTAAGATTTTCACACCTTTTTGAGATTTTTCAGTGTTTAATGTTAGATCCTGATTTTCTTTTTTTTTTGGATTTTTCCCTTTCTCAGTTGCAAACAGCTTTTATCACAGGATTAGTCATGTGGGTATCAGTAGAAGTTGGGCAGCTCTCTGTGGCTTCTTTTAGCACTCATACATAAGACTAGATTGTCTATCATCACCGTGCGTATGAAATATAATCTGTGTGGGATTTCAGCTTTTCGCTCCTCGTATCGGCTTCGCTGACGTGTCCGAACTGGTTGCCTGTTATCAATACAGCCCTGTTGCACAGGTGTTGCAGAGGCCGCGTAACCCCCATCTGCACTGTTATCAGTTGATGGTTGCTGTGTGTGCATACATGTTGGAGGTGAACACACAGACCCCTTTATCTCTGCTTTCAAACTCCATCTTCAAACCTGTGTGGGATCCAGCTCTGGCCTCCAGGGCTCGGTTAAGTAAGGATGACAAGAAGGGATCTTTTCCTTTGACGTGAGTGTATTTAGATAAACGATCCCCGATTAAAGCGTTAGAATCAAGGCAATCTAGAAACCCATTTTTGTTGATTTTGATTTTAGAGCAAACATGTTCCGGTTCTGTCAATGCCTGGAAAGTTTGTTTACAAAACATCCAAAACTGCAATGATTTAAGGGTTGAAACGATCAGTACCCACTGAGCTGATTAACCTGCTGGAGTGTAAAAAATGTCCGTAAATCAGCAGAGTTAGACCGATTCTTCCATATTGGAGCTTTTTTCTTGGCCAATTCATTAGGGCAGGGGTTCCCCAACTGGTGGGTGCGCCCCCTAGGGGTGACATACTGTAATCTCACGAATTATGATAGAAATTAATAAATGAACCCGTTCGAGAGTTTTTATTACCTTCACCAAGGAGGCGATGTTTTCATCTCTATTGGTTTGTCTGTTTTCAAAATGGCTGAAAAAAGTTATGGTTGAATTTTTAGAGATGTAGTGAGTTTTCACTGGCAGGAAATGATGAAGTTTCGGTGGTGATCCAGATCTCCATTTGGATCTTTTGAAGGATTCTGTCCGTTTCTCAATTCACAAGAGTGCGAGTACGGACTTGTGTCCTCGCCAGCTATATTCTTGAGAAAAAGAAAGGAAAGTTTGGACTCGGGTGGCCGCGGTTCACTCAACATCTGAACTTTTTTCTTTATTGGGCCATATAGTGATACTGAAAAGTATACCGGTAATGTTCTCACCTAAAATGAAATTAAATTGTACTTTTATAGAAAAACCGCAACAGAAAGGAGAACTTTTAACTTAATACTCTGAGCTCTGTGAGCGCTAATCTGGAAGCTGCTGCTGCCGCAGTGCATGCTGGGACAGCTGTGAATCTCAAGAATAGACAAGTCTGCTCTGATGCATGCTGGGTAAAGATGTAGGGGCGAGAACAACATCCAGGGAATTTGTCCGTTCTTGGTCTTTATGTTCTTGTGAATTGGAACAGTACTAGGGCTGAGGCTGATGATGTTTTTCGAGTACACGAGAACGCAGAATTACACTTATTGAGAAACAGCCAATGTGATGTCAGGTATTAACCGAAGGCGGAAGTCACGACATAACCAACTCTGCAGAGTTCTGCGCTCTCCCAGTGCTTTTCTATGTAGTTCATCTATTTATAATTGCAATCTTGAATTCGTTTAATAAAGGAGAGAAAGCTAAACTTAAAATAATTAAAGGAATAGTACACCCAAAACATGATTAGCCTTCATTTTCTACTCACCCCCATGCTGAACAACACTCTGGAGTACTTTTTTGATATCTCAAATGCATCTGGAGATCTGGGAGGCTTCTTGCTGTCTGCTGACATTCAAATAATGGAGGTCTATGGTGACCGAGACAGAAAGGTCCATAAAAGTCCACAAAAAACGTGTCAATATTCCTCCATACTGCTCGTCCAATGTATTCCAAGTGTCCTGAGTGGGTAGCGTCCAGAATTTACTCGAAACGAAGTCATTTAGAATGTTTTTAGAGCATAAACAGTAGTGTATAGGATTTTGTGAAAGCGCGTTCACGACGCTACGGAAGCCGGCAGACCAAACCAGACGAAAGTGCGCATTCAGCTCAGCAAAGAACTCATGCTCTTCCTCAACACTGAAGTCCTCAGACATTTTTCTTTCGTTGTTTCTTTCTTTGCACAGGTAAACAGCACATTTCTTCTTCTACGCTTGCATTATTGGCAGAGCAGACGCTGAATGCGCACTTTCATCTGGTTTGGTCTGCCGGTTTCCGTAGCATCCTGAACGCGCAGGTGCGCGCTTTCAGGAAATCCTATACACTACTGTTTATGCTCTAAAAACATTCTAAATGACTTTGTTTCGAGTAAATTATGGACGCTATCCACTCAGGACACTTGGAATACATTGGACGAGCAGTATGGAGGAATATTGACACGTTTTTTGTGGACTTTTATGGACCTTTCTGCCTCGGGCACCATAGACCTCCATTATTTGAATGTCAGCAGACAGCAAGAAGCCTCCCAGATCTCCAGATGCATTTGAGATATCAAAAAAGTAGTGGTGTTGTTCAGCATGGGGGTGAGTAGAAAATGAAGGCTAATCATGTTTTGGGTGTACTATTCCTTTAAGGTGGTAGTTTTAGCCTTTTAAAGTAGATTTTAGTTTTTATTGTGATATTTAATTCCCTGCTCTTGACTTTATTCAGTTTGTTAAACTGATGAAAAGGTTTTGCTTTCATCCATTCTTAGTATTTAGCACAATTTCTTCCTAAATGTTTGGGTTTTTTTACATCAACCCTGTAATGCCAAATGTATCATATTTGATACATACGGTTTCTGAAATGTTTTGCGTCTGACACCTTTTGCATAATTTAATGGTAAAAACTTTGCTCCAAATCCTATTGTACACAATCAGATATACCTGATAGCAGAGGGCAGAAGACTACACAAAAAATAACCTTGACTTATCGCATAGTAATAAATTATTAATATCAAAAATTTCTTTCTGTTTTTTCTTTTTACATATTTTGTTAAAAGGCCAAATAAGGACTTCATACCAAAAAAAGTAATTTTCTGTTTTGTTTTATTCTTGGAACGGGCTTTAAAGGGTTAAGAACTGTGTAACATTTGGTGTCATTTTTATCATGTTAATGGCTGAAGACGAAGCAATATCTGCTCCAAAAAGGTGGAGCAGATCAAAATATCAGCATTGATCTTTGTAAAAACTTGTATCAGTTGATCTATTTTATGTAGTATCTTTGGAGAGATAAAATCCAAACAATCACCCAAAAAAAAACACATTATATGGGGTGAAAACATAACAAGGTCACATTTTGCTTCGGTTAAAGGTTAACGCCAGGTGACCTAAAGATGGTGACCAGGCAACTTCTCTGGATAAAGCTGATTTTTTTTTTCTACAGAGGTTAAATAAGTTAACAACTTTATAAATCCTATTAGTCTAAAAAGTAAAATCCCTTATTGTGATAAAAGGCGTTTTCTGTTTTGATCACTGAAGTTTCCACAGACAATCATCTCAGTGTTTCTCAGCAGTGGTTCAGTGGGTCCAAGGCGGTGAATCAGAAAAACCAGTCCCTCCTCGTCCCGCTGCAGGTCCGAATATCACAGTAATAAAGAGTTACATTCTAACTGGTATCTGTATTGTATGCCATGCAGATTACAATAATAATAATAATAATAATCTACATGGCATACTGTGTGTGTCTGTTTAATTTGAATCTGTTTAAGTGATTTTCACTTCCTGTTTGTGTCCTACCTGCTCTGCCTATTGGTTCAGAGGGGAGCAGCTGACAGATCAGTTGGTCCGATTTATTGATTATGTTTATTTTTGCTGTCACCAGTGTAGCTTAACCTAAGGTTTTTTTTGTATGTTTTTTTAAATAATGGGGCTCGATGTTAGGGACAATAAAATCCTGATAGGAAATTCCTTAGCAAGTCAAACCTTTGTTGATGCCGAACTTTCTTCACTCTCGTTTTCATCCTTTATAAAAAAAAAATAAAAAAATCAAAGCTCAGTCTTTGATCTCAAAAGGTTTCCAGCAGCTTCATGCGTCGGCGTCGAAACGACCGTATGGAGAGTTTTCTGTGTTTTGTTATTGAGGACTGATTGAATTTTCACAGTCCCCTATATTTGGGCCCCCGTCCACATGAAGTCAAACCCTGGCCTAAACGCACAAATCTTTCACCAAACCAGCCTCTCATCCATACGAAGCCGGCATTTCGGGGGTCTGTAAACGATGTTTTTTTTATTAAGCCTTCAGAGTGGGAAGATTTTAAAACGCCGTTTCCATCTTTAAGGTCTGACCACATTTTTTTGTCTTACACGCATGCGTCATAGCGTCGCCTCTAAACACGCATGCGCGACACAGTATCACAACAACAATGGCGCCGTACTGTGTTGAATGGTTGCTGCTCATGCTACTCACCCTGCTGTCGGGCTTACAACAGAATCTTCTTCTTCTGGAATATCTCCAGGAAGAACAGAGCAATATCGACGACATAGTTCAGCACCTGAATTTGACTGAACCACGAAAATGGACCCGCAGGGCAACCATGTATAAATATTAGTGCGCATGCCCAACATTTCGTCGCCTATTTTTGCTTTGGCACCACAGCGCCACTTACAGGCCTGGCATACATTTTGCAGCGTTTTCATGCATTCATTTGGTCGATCACATTTATTTTACGTCTCCGTCTTTACGACAAACGTTCTGGAAAATATTAGCGTTTCGTGTTCGTTTTGACTTCGTGTGGACGGGGCATTGTTCAATCTAGCATGTGTTCCAGTAAAATGTGTCCCCTGCTTTTAACCATCCCTCAGGAGCATTTAGGGTGAGGGAACCAGAGTGGCCT